CCCCCGCTTTAAACTGATGCCAAGCGAATATATTTTCTTTTCAGAAATAAAATGATTCCCGTTGCAGGCCAAATCTATTTCTTCTCACTAATTGTACTCGGACTTTCTTTTTAGAGATTGCGTAACTGTATTTGGCTTTTAATGAAATCTAGATCCAAGTGTTGCCGTATTAAGAACCAACCAGCACGGCTCGATTACATCATGTTTAGATTTAGATCATGGATATTCATAAGTTGATTATTTATGCAGCTACAAAGTCCACCTGCCATAATTTCAATATGCAAATTTTATGAGAACAAATTATAGGATTGTTATAGCATATTCCATTTTAAAACTGGGGTATGATTCTTTTTCCGTGAATGTCTAAATGTATATTTATAGATGGCTGGGGTGGTCAGAGCCAGGACCCTTCTGGGATATTGAGTCATCCCCACGCTGAATGTCTCGAACAGTTCGAATGCTCAGTCCTTATCTTGTATATATAGCTGAAATAGTATATACATGTCAGGTTATATTAGATTTGCATACTAACATATGCTAATTTAAAAAAATAAATGAAATAAAAGCGTAACCTATTTTGTGAAAGTAGTTAGATAAATGCGAAGGTTAATTTGTGTATTATTTATTTGAAATAACGATACCCCCAGCAATAGGTGAAGTAAATATTTGTTGAAAGGTCAATTGATTTCTTTATCTCGTTCAAGAGATCTATTTATTGACGCACGTGTTGGTGTCAGTGTCGTGCAGCATTTTGATATCTTCAACATGATTTGTCTTGCCGGTCACATGACAAGTAATATCTTGATTTCATGTCAATATCCATCCAATAACAACAACAAAATGACTTTCCCTCCCCGAGTTGCATCACAGCGACCTCATGCCTAAATAAATCTATACAATTACAGAACCCCGAACAAACGACAATCGTCTGCCCCCCCCCGTTGTCATTTAAGGTAGAACGTTACCCAAAAGTAAAAACAATGCAATATAGAAAGGACAAACTAAATCAACATCAGAGCAATATTCAAAGATGTTCAACGAATTGACGAGAATCGATAAAATAGCAATAGTTACGACTGTTTACAATGACACAGCTTTAAATTAAATGAATTGACGTTTATAATGTACAATTATTAGCGCGTGAAATTGCGAAATGGATACGTCACACAAAGCAATCAGCTGCATATTTGATCATGGTCTTTGTGGGATTGACGTTCATTATGATTTTAATCTAGATTTTTTCAAAACTGTCCCAGACTTTAATTTTTCTCAAATTACGTTTCTGTCTTCGTGGCACGATTCTAACACACATTTGGTTCTATTGTTATACATATTGTTATCAGATAACGTGTTTTTTTAATTCCCATCTTATTACACGCTGGAAAATG